CAATCTCCAATCTCCCTGCCCACCGCCCGACCCTCTCCCCTCCCACTTCCCGGTGCCCCGCCTACTTCCCCTCCCATTTTCCCTGGCCCCGCCCCGCCCTCCCCATTCCTCTGCGTACACAGGGTTGGGTGGGGGACCCAGATTGCAAGGCCAGACGTTCCTGGGGTGGGGCTGTGTGGCCCTGGTGACCCCAAGGTGGTCTGCCACCAATCTCCCTGCCCACCGCCCGACCCTCTCCCCTCCCACTTCCCGGTGCCCCGCCTACTTCCCCTCCCATTTTCCCTGGCCCCGCCCCGCCCTCCCCATTCCTCTGCGTACACAGGGTTGGGTGGGGGACCCAGATTGCAAGGCCAGACGTTCCTGGGGTGGGGCTGTGTGGCCCTGGTGACCCCAAGGTGGTCTGCCACTGCCCAACTGGCCATCCATGTTGCCCACCCCCCAAACTTGGTGCCGGTCCTACTGTTCTTCCTTTCCCATCAGGGATGACTAGATAAAGTTTCGCAGGTTGGAGTCTTGAGTGGGAGAAAACTCAGAAAGCAATTCCAGGCAGATCTGGGGGCTGTGACCTTCCCCTGTGCTGCCCTTGCTCTGTTCCCTTCTCTACCCAGCCTCTCTTTGCAGCGATCCAACTTGGCTCCGTTGCTTCCTACCTCCAAGCCTCAGGTTTTCTCCTAGGAAAGTGGACTTTAAATTGGGGGGTGGCTGTGTCCCAGCATGGACACTTATTGGAGCCCCTGGGGTTGACTCATCTGTGACTCGTCCTGAGAAAGGGCCTGGGGACACTCTGGAGAAGATGGGCAGCCTGCTGTGGGAGTGGGCGACGATCCAGTGGAGGTGCAGTTGGGAACCCAGGGAGCAGCCAGGACGCCCTCCTTGACCCAGAGAGTGGAGGATGGGCACAGGCCTGCTGGGCACCTGCCAGCCCCCTGCATGGGGGATCACTCTGCCTGGAACCCCGTCTGCCCCTCCAGGGGACCCTAGGGCTGCACTCGCTGCTCCAGGCCTCACCCAAACATCTCCTAAGACCAGAGGGCAGGGGCTGCTTTATGGTCTCTGGGTTTTGGAGCACAGTGTGGGATCCCCAGGCTCCCCTGCTGCCCTCTGGGCAATAGCTGATTGGCAGCTCCAGTGAATTAATCTCAAAGCAAATGAGCCCCAAGCTTCCCATGAGTCTAAGCTTTGAATGGGTGCCTGTGGCCTATGCAGGGAGCCAGGCTTCCAAATAAGATGACCGCATGCACATGATACTCTGCACTAATTGCAGGGGACACGTCGGGTCCCTGCCCCCATGGTGCTTCTAACAGGGGGCACTGGTCAATACCAAGTGACATCGTTGTGAGAGAATCCGATGCCCGGAACATGTAAGACAGGATGGTGGAGCTGAGGGGTGGGCAGCTGTCCAGGTGGTCAGGGGAGGGCGTATGGAGGTGATGTCCCCACTGGGAGGCTGGAATGATGGGATGGAGCTGGGGTGGAGGTGTGTGGCCAGCATGCTCTGGACAGACCCGGAAGGGTTTACCACAGTATAGTTAGGGAGACAGGTGTCGGGGACAGAAGGGAGAGGGTTGGAATGTGGGCTTGGTGACCAAAAGCAGCCTGAGGACATCTTGCTGGCTGCAGGGAGGAGCTGGAACCCCTAAGAATCTGCATCAGAGCTGGGGACAAGAACAGACCCAGGTCTTAATTAAAAACTTGCTATGTCGCTGATGCAAATTGGAACCCCTCTGCAAAGTAAATTGGCCCCAAAATATGTTTACTGTTTGGTCCAGAAAACTCAGTCCAAGGAAATAGTTCTAAATATAGAAAAGGCTTTCTATCCAAAGATGTTCGTCATAATTGCTTAAGCGCTGTGAAGAGCCGGGCACCCCAAGGCAGGGGTGTAAGTTCTGGGGCTCATGGTGGGGAGCAGGCGACTGGGCTGTTGTTTTTGAAACTCCCAGAGCCACCCATGGAATTGCGTGGACTGCAAAGACACTCTCCACTGGGGTGTGTGCGGTTGGTGAGGGTTTATGATGCTGTGGAAATCTGGCTGTGTGCGAGCGTTGGAGACACAGAAATAGGAAGTGGGAAGGAAGGCAAAAGATAACTTCCACTCTGCACAACAGCAAAAAAAAGAATTGGAGAAGCTGGGGAGAATGATTTTCTGGGAACTATAAATGAGCAGAAAAGCTGCCATCAGGAGAGAAACTTAAATAGAACAATCCCTGAAGAGGAAAGAGAAATGAGGTAAAGAACTCTGCTTCCCTGCCCTGGAACAACAGGCTCTGTGGCTGCCGGGAAGCACAGGGGCCTGTCAAGGTCCAAAGGTGAGAGAACCATGGTGCTACTTAAAACACTGCAGAGAGGGCCAGGGATTTAGCTCAGTGTGCTGTGCCTGCCTGGCAAGCGCAATGTGCTGAGTTCCATCCCTGGTACCAAGTGGTGTTGGTGGAGGTGACACCACAGAG